GCACTTATCGTATCGATATACTATACCTTACTAATATCACCCATACTCATTTTTTTTATCTTACACCTTATATATATATCAGGAGTAAATATCACAAATATTACTGTTACGCCTCCATACGATATATTATAATTGTATATGTAACAGCTATCACGTATTTACACCTATTATAGGCCGTACATAGTGACGCGAGCCCGAATGGATTGCGCATGACCACACGGCGCTGGCGTGCTCCTTGCTCGCGCCGCACGTCACCGGCCGGGGCCCCCGCACCGCCGGGTCGCCGTGCTCGCTTAGCGGCGCTGCTGAAGCGCTTCGGGCCCAGCAGAGCCCGATCGCTGCGATGGGGACACTGCGCCACCTCCCGACGCGCCTGCGCATTTGACCATCGATGCAGCAAGCGCAAGTGGTCATCCCCGGCACAAAGAACGCACGGTTGATGGTGGCCCGAGAGCAAGTAAGGTCCAATTGCTCGCACCCGGCGACGAGGCGCGCTGAGCGATGGGAGCCAGAGAATAGAGCACGAGACCGAGAGCCCGGAACGGAGCCGTCCCGAGAGAAGACGCAGCAGAAAGGCGAGCAGACGGACGAGCGAGACTGCACGAGAGCCAGCATCGACAGAGAAGAACAGAGACGAGAGCGAGACAGCAGCACAGAGACACGAGACGACGGTCAATCACCTGCGCTGCCGAATAAGCTTTTCCACGGGCTACATCACTAGCTGACCGCCCAGCAACTAGTGATGTTCACACCACATCCGAATGCTGTGGACCCTGCGCGTTGTCGTGAAGAGTTCAAGATACAGGACACGCCCCACGTGTTGTAAGAGCACTTTACGCCTGCCAGACCTGCTACACACATAAGCATCGTCGCCAAACTCTGGCCGTGCAGTGCCATGCATGTGCTGTGCTGCCCATCGCTGCTGTCACGTGGACGTCGCAGTGCCTGCGTGCATGCGGCTGCGGCCCGCGCCAGCGCTCGCGTGTATATGCACATGTGCCATTCGCTGCTGGTTTGTGTGTTTGATTTAGCTGTCGTTGTTTTGCATGCGTTTGTGTGCCCGCGATGGCCCAAGCGTATCGCTATGCCCTGGCAAACAACAAACATACATGCAGTGCTGCTGGCGTTCTCGCGTGCATTTGTGTGTGGTGTGTGTGTGTACACCTTCGCCCTTCACTCAGCCTTTGAAGGCTCCGCTGCAATTTGCTTCAAAATTGTAAGACCATGACTCAGTTCACTGCAAACAATATAAAAAGAAATAGCCTCTGATAGGCCCATTGTCACATTGTCAGCGTGTTGTATATAATTATTATCAAGAGTATTTATTAGCTCTTGTTATTATCATGATATATTTGGCCATCTAAACTCTACACGCACACACCCGTAACCCACAGACGTACTATACTAGTGAACCTGTGCACGAACTCCAGACAGCTTCAATACAAACCTGCCACCTCTCACGCTTTTACCGGTGTCTCGCTACCCATAACAGATACACGACACCACGCATCTCCCCCTCCACACAATGGTGCCCGTCGCGCCACACGCGGGAGCGTTTTGCGCCACACACAGCACACACGCAGACACCATGCACGTACACACGCCGCACGCCACGCACGCGCACACACCGGCAGCGCACACCATGCCGCACAACATGCAGCGCTACACACCACACACACACGCAGACGCACACACACACACACTACACCACAGCACACACACGTGACACTCACACACCACGCGACGCCCCCACCCCCACCACACCACCCACCCACCCACTCACACCACGTACTGCGACATTGCTGAACCTTATCTCGCATTATAACGTATCATCGAGAGAGAGAGAGAGAGAGAGAGAGAGAGAGCGAGAGAGAGAGAGAGAAAAGAGAGAGAGAGAGAGAGAGAGCATAGATGTTCGTGCGCCGAGGGCCGCACATGCTTCCACTCCCTCACTCTGGATGCGCGGGTGTAGCCGATAATGTAAAGTTTTGCTGTCGATATCTCCGATGGTGACAATTCGTGACAATTCGTGACAATCCGTGACAATTCGTCGAGTTGTCTAAACTAAACGATGGAAGCAAGACAGCTCGATCAATTTGACGCCGTCAGCATATTGATACTACTATACATACATATAGATACACCTATACGTCTATGTAAACTATAAATACATTTATAGATAACTTTAGGCATGGCTACGTTCGCCGTAATGCTGTCAGCACATCCTGTAGTGTTCACCCCACTACTATAGTAGAGTATGGAAACACTAGCATAGGGTGCAATCGGTAAATCATGCCCATGGAAAAGTGTTGTTTTATTCCGTTTTGCCGTTTCCGTCACTATCGTGGTTGGTCATAATGGAACGTGTCTGTCATCGTAAATTTTTACTTATGACCCCCACATGTGTGGAACCCTACACATGAGTTCAGACTACTGATGGTGAGTGCTGTCACAATAGCAACATCACAACATATCATGAATTCCTCGCAAGTTACGATGCATTTGATCAGGTGGGAAATCAAAAGAGGCATTCTTGATGCTGCCCCCGTACCGCGTGCGAAGGCTGTACACAGAGCTGCGTCATGGTGTGGCAGGGGTAGAAATAAACTTTCGATCGAGGGAGTCCAACGGACTCCCTACCCTCAAAAAGAGGGAGTCCGCAGCAAAATGATGGAGTCCGCAGTCTGAGGTTCAAAATTAATTATATTAACAATAACGCATGTGCTTATTTTTATGATTCATGCAGTTGCACGTCTGCCAAATTTTCTTTGGGCATTAGCTAAAAAAATACAGTAATTCCGCGAGGCCGTGCTCCGGAACGAACTAGTTAGTATGGCAGAATTTTCAGGGAGTCCCACGGACTCCTGCATATGTCAAATCAGGGAGTCCGACATTAAATCAGGGAGTATTTGACTCCGGACTCCCGTTAATTTCGCACCCTGGTGTGGGTTCGTCGTCGACTCGATGACTTATCGTAAACGTGTGATGATGTAACAGGGTTTCTTCAGAGGGAAAATTAGACAAAGGAGGTAATGGCCAGTTTGGGGAAAAACGCGCATGATGGATTCAAAGGCGTGCCGTAGGCACGCATGCAGATGCGGCAGTCCGACTAATTATTCATTTATTCAGTGATCTATTTATTTTTGCGTTGACACTATTTTGACAATGGCGGGTAAATACAGGAACATTTTCACAATGGTGATGTTAAATTTGACAACGGCGGTGCGCCACTGTGCCTATTATGTATATAAGAAACCCTGTGTTTGTCTTCAGCCGGACGCACCGTCCGTGCAGGGCGTCATGGAGACTGGATTCGCACATTTCATTGAAACCACTGAGGTCGAGTCGGGGGTGAGTGTCGCTGCAACGGATCGCGTTAACCCGCGCCGTCACGCGGGGCTGGTTGGTGACGAGCGTGATACTGATGATAGTGAGAGTGCTGCTGATGCTGACGATGATTGTGCTGATGCTGTCGTTAATGATTATGATGATGACGATGATTGTGCTGATGCTGTTGTTAATTGACTTATGATTGATGAAGAGATTGTGCTGATGCTGCTCGTTAATGAATTATGATGATGAGCGATGATTGTGACTGATGCTGTCGTTATGATTATGAATGATAGACGATGATTGTGGTGATTGCATCTCCGTTAATGATTTGATGGATGACGATGATGATGATGCTGAATCGATACTGACTCTCAGGATAGATGATCATACTGACGTAGCTGCTGATAAGATGTTATTTATGATGTTGATACGTTTATGACGATGAAGACTGCTAGTACACCGTGAAGATGAGCTGGTTTCTATTCAGCTCGTGATCTTTCTCGGGCAGGTCACAGCAGTGGTCCTTGTTTCGATCGCGTTGCATCAGTTACCAAAGATGATAAAGCAGGTCACGCTATTCTCCAAACAAGGATTGCCTCTTCCTGCACGAAACTAACAAGGACGTGATATTCCCCCAGACGGGGTCGCCCTCTACTTTCCATGGTATTGTCCGCCCCGGTCTAAAATCTCGCGTGACGTGGCGGCTTGTCGATGCAGCGTTACTAGGGCTGGGAGTGGAGTCGTTATCAGCTAACGAGTCTTGCCGATGGTCATCATTCGATACGCTCCTTTACCATCGCAGACGTAATTAGATTAATTCAGTACGGATTTGCCGACTTTAAACTGCTTGGGTGTTGTGAGACGCTGTCATGTCTGCATATTAAAGGTCTCTCTCGCTCT